CCAGAGAGCTAGGATTACAGGCGTGAGCCACCGCGCCTGGCCCTTACCTGCCTTCTTAAAGTGCAGCTCTGGCCCTGAGCGCCCCTGCTCAAAACTGTCCACAGCCCCCACGACCCTCACGGTGAAGTCCTTGCCACTCTGCTTGGCATTCACACAGGACCTGTCCCCAGTTTCTACATCCCCTCTCACCCCTCTTTCCTTCGCCAGCCCAGAAGCTGCCCCAAAGCCAAGTGCCAAGTCCATCTACGGTGAGTGTGGGGGCGAGGAAACCCCAGGCCCCCAGAAGCTGGGTCTGAGGAAAGTGAGGACCTGGGATCCAGGGTCTTGGGAGAGGAGGGGCTGAAGGAGGAGACCCCTGGGTCTGAGGGAGGAGGGGCTGGGGCTGGACCCCTGGTCACTCTCCTCCTCCCCCCTCAGAGCAGAGGAAGCGTTACTCCACTGTGGTTATGGCCGACGTATCCCAGTATCCAGTCAATGTGAGTCTGGGGTCTTGTCCCAGAGTCTGCCGGGGGAAAGTTCTGGGGGAAGGTGGGCCTGGGGAGATAGGGCTGTTCAAAGCAGTTGGGCGCCCAGGCAGAAAGAATGTGGGAAACTCAGAAAGGGCTTCCTCCACCTGGCCTCAGACGCGGATCTGAAGTCGAGGACCTCAGTTCCTCTCCAATCTGCGAACCTTTCCTCCGGAGCAGCCATTGGGCTGGACATCAGGCCACAAGGACAAACCAGACACAATCCTGGATGAGCAGAGTGTAGACCACCAGGTCCAGAGGACTAGGGTGCCAGGTGCTCTAACGGAGGTGGCAGAGGGCACCGTGGGCGACCCGAGGAGGCCACGTAATTCCTTAGAAGGAATTACGGACATTCCAGACCCGTCCCTGGCCCCAGCGAGCCTCCAGTCTTGGCGAGAAGGCAGACCCAGGTGCTGTTCACTCCGAGGAACAGAAACAAAGGGCACTGGGAGAAGGGGCCGATTTGTGGAGCAGGAGTTCAAGGAAGGCTTCCTGGAGGAGGTGTGGTCAGTCCCAGGCTGGAAGTCGGACTTTAGGGGACTCCGAGCCCACCTGGCATCATCCTGGGACTCACTGCTTTCTGTGGCCCATACCAGCACCTGGTGACATTCTGCCTGGGTGAGGAGGATGGCGTGCACACCGTGGAGGATGCCTCCAGGAAGCTCGCCGTCATGGACAGCCAGGGCCGAGTCTGGGCACAGGAGATGCTGCTGCGCGTGTCCCCGGACCACGTCACGCTGCTCGACCCAGTCTCCAAGGTGCCAGGGGGCAGGGGGGTGGGAGGAGTGTCTGGGCTGGGTGTGCAGGGACTTCAGGCGTCTGGGTGTGAACTGTAGCTCCTGCACGCCCTTCCTCTGGGAACCCTGGCAGGGGCCCCCAGCTCCCCTTTCTGAGCCATTCTCGCCTCATCTATTGAACGGGGGTGTATTCCCTACTCCTAACCCCGTGAGGTTGCCCTGCCCGGCGCCTGTACCTGCTGGGCCTCACCGACGTCGCCATTCAGTAGCAGTATCGGTCCCGGGCCTCAGTTTACCGCGCCGTCCCACCCGACAGGAGGAGCTGGAGTCGTACCCGCTGGGTGCCATCGTGCGCTGCGACGCGGTGATGCCACCCGGCCGGAGCCGCTCGCTGCTGCTCCTCGTGTGCCAGGAGCCCGAGCGCGCGCAGCCGGACGTGCACTTCTTCCAGGGCCTGCGCCTGGGGGTGAGCGGGGGGCGGGGACGGCTGGTTCTGGGGCGGAGCTGGGAGTGCTGGGTCCTCTCGGTGATGGGGGGGCCTGGGAGCAAAGGCGGCGGCAGGGCAAGGGAAGGGGACGTGACCTGGGAAGAAGTTCCGAAAGGGAGTGGGGTTTGAGGACACTGGACGCAGGGCCAAGACAGAACACGAGGGCGGGATGCAGTCAGAGGCTGAGGGTGCGAACATTCTCGAATATGGGGAAGGAGGGTCGGGGGGGCAGCCAGGACGAGGATGCGGGCATTGTGGTCTGGGACGAGGACCCCACGCCTGGGTCTCCATGGGGGAGGTCGTGGCCTAGGGGAGGGACAGGTTTTGGCGAGAGCGCGTGGCTCCGCGGGCGTCTGCAACAGCACGTGGCCTGGGACGGAGCCAAGGCATCGATCAGGGGCGTGGCCTGACGGTGTGATTGGCAGGCGGAGCTGATCCGCGAGGACATCCAGGGGGCGCTGCACAACTATCGCTCCGGCCGCGGCGAGCGCAGGGCGGCGGCGCTCAGGTGAGGGGCTGGACTGGAAGCGAGGGAAGGGAGAGGGAAGAAGGTGGGCGGGATCTCTGGGAAGCCCGGTTCCCCTCCGTGGGACTTAGTCTCCTCCTCTGAGAAATGGGCTACTACCACCAGCCTGGAGCAGAACAAGAGTTTTGAACCGAGTCAAGCAAATCCTCGTCACGTCTTGTCTCTACCGCCCAGACCAGGTGGTCCCTTCTCCAGGACTCCATTTTCCCTTGTCCTGCTGCTCGGTTTCTCCTCCTTCTGGCCTCAGTTTCCCTTAGAGAGGTGCTCCCTTCCCCACATCTGATTTCTCCCTACCTCTCTGAGTCTATGCTTGGCCCCTTTGAGCCTCAGTGTCTCTCGTTTTAAGCCCCGAATTCCCCCCTCCCTGGACTCCCCAGTCGACCCAGCCTCAGTTTCCCCTTCTCCCTCCGCAGGGCCACGCAGGAGGAACTGCAGCGCGGCCGCTCGCCGGCCGCCGAGACCCCACCCCTGCAGCGCCGGCCGTCGCTCCGCGCCGTAGTCAGCACAGGGGAGCGGGCGGCGGGCCGCGGGAGGCCCCAGGAGGAGCCCATCCCCGAGGCGGAGGAGGCGCAGAGGCCTGGCCCACCGGGGACCTCGGGCAGCGCTGACCCGGCCTCCCCGGACCTGGGTCCCCGGGGTCCGGACCTGGCCAGTCTACAGGCGGAGCGGGAGGTGGTGAGCTCGGGGTCTGGGGGGACCTAGGGGACGTCCTGGGGGCGGGCCAGACGCTGGAGGCGGGGCTAGGGCGTGGGGGCGGGACCGGCTGGGGCGTCAGTCACGTCAATCAGGTCCAACTCTGGGTTCTGGAGGCGGGGCCGGGCCCAGGGGTGCGGCGAGGTTCCAGGGGCGTGGTCAGATGGTGCGGCTCCCCGCCTGTCCTGGGGGCGCGTCTGGAGGCTGGGTTCTGGGCTTCCGCAGGGGTGAGGGTCTGGGACTTCCGAACCCCGAGCGTCCCTCTCCTCTTCCCCCAGGACATCCTGAACCACGTATTCGACGACGTGGAGAGCTTCGTCTCGAGGCTGCAGAAGTCGGCGGAGGCGGCCCGCGTGCTGGAGCACCGCGAGCGCGGCCGCAGGGCCCGGCGCAGGGCGGCCGGGGGTAAGGGGCTCCGCGCGGGATCCCGCGCCCTCCCGCTCCCCGGGCTCTCCCCTCTCGCCACCTGCCGGGTCTCGCTTCCCACCGCGATCTCACCGGGCGTCCCCCTCCCCTCTCTCTGCCTGTGCCGCGCCGTCTCCGTGTCCTCGTGTCCCCGTCGCCGCGCCCGCCCCCGCCCGCAGAGGGCCTGCTGACGCTGCGGGCCAAGCCGCCCACGGAGGCCGAATACACCGACGCGCTTCGGAAGATCAAGTACGCCTTCAGCCTGCTGGTGAGGACGCGCGACCCTGGGCGTCGGGGGCGGGGTCCCGACCCGTCCACGCACCGCCGCCACAACCTCCCTCCCACCGCAGGCCCGGCTGCGCGGCAACATCGCCAACCCCTCGTCCCCGGAGCTGCTGCACTTCCTGTTCGGACCCCTGCAGATGGTGAGGCCGCCCGGGGCCCTGGCGTCCCCGCGGCTGGAGGGGTCCGGGCGGGACTTAAGGGTGTCTGATGGCGCGCCCGCTCCCGCCGCCCCCGCAGATCGTGAACACGTCGGGGGGCCCCGAGTTCGCGAGCGGCGTGCGGCGGCCGCACCTGACGTGCGAGGCCGTGGCGCTGCTGCGGGACAACGTCAATCCACGTGAAAACGCTCTCTGGACCTCGCTCGGGGACTCGTGGACCCGCCCTGGGTGAGGGGCGGGGCCTGGGGCAGCGTGCGTGGTGATTGGAGGAACGGGAGAGGCTGGGAGGTGGTAATTGGAGAGAGGGTGGGACTAGGTTAGAGGCGGGGCTTAGGACAAATACCAAGATCCTATTGGACAAAAGACCAGAAATTAGCGTGAAGGAAAGGCTTAAGACTGAACCAGACAGTCAGACTGGAACAGAAGGCGGGGCTTAGAGAAAGAGGGCAGGATTAGGGGCGGGGCTACGTGGAAAGGGCGGGGCTACGTGGAAAGGGCGGGGCTACATGGAAAGGGCGCGGCTTAGGGAAGGTCTGGCGTGTGAGTTCGGACAGCCCACGGAGTGCATTTGGAGGCCGAGAGCTGCCTAGGGAAAGGGGCAGAAGGGGAAACCCGGTTTGGAATCAGAAATGAGATTTAGAGGCTGGACGGGGCATTAGAGTGGAATCGCTGTATTTAGGAATATAACTGAGGCCGTGAGTTGGGTGTAGAGGATTGGGCGGGGTTAGAACAGTATGGATGGGGTGAAGATTAGGGGAAGGCGAAAACTTAGTGAGGTTAGTGACAGGGCTAAATCCCGGGCTGGACCAGGATCCCTGAGCCCTCGGCCCTGTACCTGGCGGCAGGCTGGAGCTGCCCCCGGAGGAGGGACCCCCATATAGCCCTGAGTTCTACAGCGGCTGGGAACCCCCGGCCACTGACCCGCAAGGCCGCGCCTGGGAGGACCCAGTGGAGAAACAGCTACAGCATGAGCGGAGGCGCCGGCAGGTAAGGCTGAGGCTTCCATGGGAGCAGCAAGCTCCCCAAGCGACACAGAAAGGCGGGCTGGGTAGTTAGAGGTGCGGGCCAGCCCGGCCTGAACCGGCTCTCTTACTCCCTGCAGCAAAGCGCCCCCCAGGTCGCTGTCAATGGGTGAGTGTCTGCCTCAGGGCGGGACAGGAGGAGTCCAGGAGGGGTGTGTCCCAGGGGCTCCTGGCACTGACTCCACCCCCCATTTTTTTCCTGTCTTTTTCCCTCTGTCTTCCTGGCTCTTCGCAGGTGGGTGAGGTGGTGAGGAGGCGGGCAGGGCCTGGGAGAGGGGGGAGGAACAGGGAGGAGGGAGGCAGGGCCCAGACTTCTGGGTCTATGGGAGGAGAGAGTGGAGGACCAGGTTCCAGGGTTTAAGAGGGGAAGGGGTTGGGAGTGGGTAAAGTCTGAGAGGTAGGACCTGAGTCCTCAAAAGGCTGGAAGAAGGTTGTCCCGTGCTTGGGTCCCTACAAGGACAGAGCCCTGGGTATTAGAGAAAAGAGGCTGGGGAATTGGACACTCAGGTTTTGAAGAAGAGCTCAAGTCTGGTGCTTGGGCTCCTGGAGACCCAGAGGAGCAGGCTTGGGGCTCCAAGGGCTTGGGGGCAAGTTTCCGAGAAAGCTAGGAAGTGGTAGTACTCCTGGACCCTGAGAGAGTAAAGGCGGGGGAGGTTAAACTCTTGGTTTCCTAAAGGCTCTAAAGCAATTGTCTTAAGTCCCTGCTGGATGTCAGATGCGGCAGCTTTATGGGTTAAAAGGGTGAGGAAATTGAAGCTTGAGACCTGGATTCCTTGCTGAAGAAATCCGGACTAAAAGATAAAAAAAGAAAAAAAAAGAGACCTGGACTCCTGGGTCTCTCGGGGAGGAAAGAACTAGAGATCGAAACTCGTGGTTCTGCCAGGCAGTGGGAGATCGGACTTGTGGGTCCTGGAGGAGGATGTAGAGGGGCCAGACTCTAGGGTCCTTGGGCAAGCAGGGGGCAGATTGGAGGGAAGCAACGTGGGTTGAGAAGAAAACAAAGCAGTGAGGCTAGAGGAGATAAAGCGGGGTCTGGGAGAGGTCCGGGCAGAGGGTCTCAGCAGGGACAGCGTGCTGGGAGCTGCTGGCCCCACACAGGGGGTGCCGCGGCCCAGAAGACCCCCCCTCTCCCCTGCACAGGTAGGCCTGATCCGGGCTGAGGTCCCTCTTACTGGGATTCAGAGTTGATATCCTGCCCACCCCATGCTGCCTGGTTTCGCAGCCCGCCTCCCTGCTCCTCTGGGCTTTTAAATCTTGAGCTTGACACCTCCAGCTTATAAGTGACCTTCTCCAAGCCTCAAGTTCTTTGCAGGGAAATTATGAATAGTGATAATCCCTTCCTGGCATGCAAAGTAGAGCAGTTACTCAAGACATGGACTGCCTGGGTCGCAGGCTGGCCGTGCTGCTCTCTTGTTCTAGGACCTTTACATCACTGTGCCTCGGCCTTCTCACCTGTAAAAAATGGAGATGATAATGGGGTCTCTGAGGAAAGAACTGGGGGTCCAAATTCATGGTTCTACCAAGAGTTGTCATGAGGATCAAATCAGCTAGTATATGTAATAGATTTTGAACAGTACCTGGCACATAGTGCTGCACAAGTGATAGCTACTGTCCTTATTATAGTCATGATTTGTCATGATACCTGAGCCCATGAGTATAATAGATGCTCAACACATAGCAGTTGTTTCTAGCTGTGTGATCTGGGGCAAATGATTTTCTCTCTCTGAGCCTCAGTGAGCTCATCTACAAAATGAAAGTAATGATATGATAGCACCCATATCGTATGCCTACAGCACAATGCCAGGCAAGGTGGGGAGCAAAGCATATTCAAGCTATTATTCCAATTTCAGATTTCTAGTAACAGTATTAACCTGGCCCCTTGCTGCGCTCCTGCTTGGCTCTAACCCCAGCTCACACCAGCACCCTGCAGCCCAGAGCAGTGGGGCTGGCTGTCTCCTTATCGCCAAACCTTCCTGCTTCTCCTCAGTCACCAAGATCCGGAGCTGGAATCTGAGCCCCACCTGGAGTCAGAGCCAGCAGGAAAGTGGGTCCTGTGTAATTATGACTTCCAGGCCCGCAACAGCAGCGAGCTGTCGGTCAAGCAACGGGATGTACTGGAGGTTAGAGATGTGGGAGGCTGAGGGGCTGGAATTGGCCCTAGCCACAGACCCAGGCTCTGAACCCTCTCCTCATACTGCACGCAGGTCCTGGATGACAAGCGCAAGTGGTGGAAGGTTCGGGACCACCGGGGACAGGAGGGATATGTACCCTATAATATCCTGACACCCCACCCAGGACCCCAGGTGGACCGCAGCCAAAGCCCTGCCGGCAGCCTGGTGAGCAAGGGCAGACTCAGGTCTTGAGTAAGTAAGGCTGGGCGCAGATCCTGGGTCCTGAGAAGGGGATCAGGTGTCAAGGGTACTGACGGAGGAGGTGACTGGGGCGTTAGAAATTTCCGTCACTGGGTGTTGAGTCAGATAAAAAAAAAAAAAGTTATTTCCAAAAGGGGGAGGGGCTGGGACTCTGAGTCCTCTCCCTGATCCAGGTACTCTCCTCTCCTTCCTCTCCAGAATAGCACACCCCCTCCCCCGCCAGCTCTGACCCCAGCTCCTGCTCCAGTTCGGCCCCGCTGGGATAGCTGTGATAGCCTCAATAATTTGGACCCCAGCGACAAGGGTGAGCAGTGGGGGCACCTCCTCTGGGGAGCAGACTTTGTCCTCACCTTCCAGACAGGGAAACCGAGGCTCCCCAGAAAAAGCAAATGGACACCCGACCCATCCTGGGGGCGCTGAAGGCCCCGGCCCTGTGGCCCCAGGATCCCTCGCCCTGAGCTCCGACTCCCTCTCTCCCGGTTTCCCGCCTGCAGAGAAATTCTCCCAGATGCTCAGTGTCAACGAGGAGCTGCAGGCGCGCCTGGCCCAGGGCCGCTCGGGCCCTAGCCGCGCAGTCCCAGGGCCCCGCGCCCCGGAGCCACAGCTCAGCCCGCGCTCGGACGCCTCGGAGGTCCGCGCCTGGCTGCAGGCCAAGGGCTTTAGCGCTGGGTGAGTCGGGTGGGCGTCGGTTGTTGGCGGTGAGATAGGGGCGCTGGGAGCAGAGCGTTCCGACTGGCCCGGAGTCGGGAAGTGGGCGTAGAGACCGCGGGGCGCCGGGATTGGCCTGAAGCGAGGGTCTGTCTGATTGCAACAACCAATGGCAGGTTGTGATTGGCATGATTTTCCAGACTCCGATTGGAGTCCTCGGGGAAGTGTCGCCCCCTTCCGGAAGCAGGTGCAGCCACACACCCCGGATAGCGCATTGTGATTGGTGGGTGGGGATGTACTTCAGTGGTACCTGCTTGAGCTAGAATGCCGTTCTAATTGGACAAACGTCCAGGTGGGCGTGACGCGACTAGTGGGGCGGGGCAGCTTAAGTTGTGATTGGCCGATAGGCCTGACCGCGCCCCCTCTGCCCTTCCTCAGGACCGTGGACGCGCTGGGCGTGCTGACCGGGGCGCAGCTTTTCTCGCTGCAGAAGGAGGAGTTTCGGGCGGTGAGCCCGGAGGAGGGCGCGCGGGTGTACAGCCAGGTCACGGTGCAGCGCGCGCTGCTGGAGGTGAGCTGGGGGTGTTCATCTCTGGGTCCAGATGGGTGGGGGACGTCAGGGTCCTGATTTCCACCCCGCCCTCCAGGATAAAGTGTCAGAGCTGGAGGCGGTGATGGAGAAGCAAAAGAAGAAGGTGGAAGGTGAGACGGAAACGGAGGTCATTTGACCTTTCTTGGCTCCTTCGCAAAAAGTGACGAGGTCCCGTGGGAGAACGGACTCTTCAGACTCTCCCCACCAATGGAAGCCGATCCTTTGAAGGATTGTGGACCAGTTCTGGCCCCCAGCCCCTATCCTAGTGGACCCGCATCCTAGTGAACGGACTGAACAATCCTTGCTGGAGTTCCTCCTGAGAATCCGCACTGCTGGGAGTGGGGAGCGAGCGGGGCGCAGCCAATTTGGGCATCCCCGCAGAGGGCGCACTCAGGAGCCCTGCACGTTGGAATGTGCTGCCCAGCCTATAAACAGCCTCTTCTTAGCAGGCGGTGTCAATTGCTGTCCCCTCTCTACTTGGCTACCAGAGAGCCCAAAAGCCTGCCCCTTGCTCCAGTCACAGCCTCTTAGGAAGAAAGGAATCTGGGAGATGTCCCACCTTCTTAGTTAATCTCTCTCTCAACCTTCCTCTCCATCCCAGGGTCTCAACCCAGGCTTCCTCCTGACCTCCTAGCCTCCAGTCTGTCCTACAGCTTGCCCCATCTTCTGAACACCTGTCCCCTACTCAGAATTCTTCCCTGGCTCCCCATTGCCTCTCAGCCCCGCAGCCCAGCATTTGAGGCCTGGAGTGTTTCCCTGTCCGACTCTCCAACCTCATCTCTCACCTCCTCATTCCTGCGTACATTCTGGTCCTGCCCTTCTCCAAACAATCGCAAGCCCCTTCAACCACTGGGGTTTGGCACTTGCTGTCTCTGCTGGCCGCCAGCCCAGCCCAGCCTTTCTTTGCCTGGTGAACTCCTATCCAGCTTTCCTGGCCCAGCTCAAATACCCGCTTTGGGGAAGCTTGCCCTCATCCCGCAGCCTAGTCTCCCAGCACCCACTTCTCCACATCCCGCCAGGGGTCCAACCATGGAGAACTGGCTGTCTCCTGAGCAGGCCACAGGCTTCCTAGCCCCTCCTTGTCCTGTGAGATGGCAGCGTAACTGGAAACTTCCTACCCCTCAAGAACTAGCTCCCCTTCTCTCTGAAAAGCCCTGGAACTTCCTCCCTTATCCAGGTGGCTGGTGAGGGCTGGCTGTCTCTGGATCCCACCCTTGCTCACACTGGACATTCCTCCAACTTTGGGAAGAATAGGGCTTTCTCTTCCCCCCTGGCTCATGCTTCCCCAGAAAGCCCACTGCCAAGCTCCCCCACCAGAATGCCTGCTGGCCTCCAAGCCACCAGCCTCTGCCCCTGGAGTTCAGTTTCTACCTGGGCCACCAGACAGCACCCTCTTTCCAAAATCAGACAAGATCAGAGAAACAGCCTGGGCAGGCAGGAGCTCTGACTCTCAGTCCCTACTTTTCTGCATCCTGCCTCAGTTTCCTTCTGGAACCAGACCACTTTGGATATCCAAGACTCCTTTCCACATCAACCCTGTCCCCATTCCCTACTCACACACCTCCCCTGGCTCCCTATGGCCCATCAGGTAAAATCCAAGCCCCAGCTTGGCAGTCAAGGGCCGGTGACCACCAGGCTCACCGGCTCCTCACGCCATAAGGCTCTACTTCCCTCTTCTTGCCAGGCCTCAGTTCACGCTGTTCCTTCTGCCCAGAATACCCTTGGCCCTAGGGGGTGTCCATTCAGCCTTCAAGCTCTTGCCTGGGGCCCCATACCTCATTTCCAGTAGAGGAACCAGAAATGCAAGTGATCCCCCCCAAACCTCCTTGCTCCATTTTTCCCCTCCTCAATAACCCCCATGGCTCACATCTAGACTGCAAACTGAAATGCCTGCAGGAGCCAGACAAGAGACCCACATGAGCAAGCTGGGCCTCAGCCCCAGTCCCTTCACAAGCCAGCTTGTGGAAACATCATCATGGCCGCACCTTCCAATATTCCCAGAATCTGACCATGTCTCACGATCTCCACTGTCATCACCCTGGTCAAAACCACCATCATCTCTTACTGGGGTTTCACCAGTAGCCCCTTCACCAACTCCCTGTCTGTTCCCAGTGCAGCAGCCAGAAAGACCTATTAAAGCCTAAGATCATGGCTGTGTCTGAAAAACCACCCAAGGTTCCCACTTCACAGCTCAAGTCCTTACCAGGGCGGAGTCCCTGCAGAGCCAGCTATTACCTCCTAACCTCATCCCCTGCTACTTCCTCCATCCAGTCACACTGGCTTTCCTACCCTTCAGCACATCAGGCACGCTTCTACCCCAGGGCCTTTGCACATGTGGTTCTCATCATCTGGAGGACCCTTCCCTCAAATACCTACACAGATCACTCCCTGCCACCTTCAAGAATGTGCCTGTGCCAGCTTTTTAGTAAGGCCAACCTGGACCATCCTGTACAAAAACGCTTCCATGTGCACACGCACCCACCTCCCGATCCCTCCCTGTGTTCCTCCAGAGCACTACCACCTGAAATCCATTTGCTTAGCACCAGATGCCTCCCCTCCTGAAAGGTATTGGATCTTTGCCTGTTTTGTTCACTACTGTAACACCAGCAGGTAGAACAAGACGTAAGAAGTAGAGTGTGACCAGTAGTTACTGAAGGAATGAATGAATGAACAAACACCCCATCTTAGAAGACGGCTCCTACTCAGCTCCAGTCAACTGCTGCCATACAGAACTGAAGAGCTCATACTGTCAATAGCTTCCTATTTTTTCAAAAAAAGACCTAATTCCAGACATTTATATGTAAATTACCCCCAATTTAAATGTTGACAATTGTTTCCAAGGCACTGAGGACAAAACCCAAGATCCCAGTTCTACATTCACCACCCCAGGCTCTTACCCCGCGGATCTTTCCTATGCTGTCAGCTTCCCCTCTGGCCACCTTGCCTGCGATCATGTCAGCGATGGCTTAGGGCATTTGCTCCAACTGGTCACTCTTCCTGAAGCTCCCTCCCCCACACCGGTGAGCAAGCACCTGCGCATCCCTCAGCACCCCACCCAAATGGCCTCGTGGATTGGTCATGAACACATACAGCCCCTGAGCACAAAAGCAGGAAACAGTGCCCTACCTCTGGCTGGGGACACACTCATTGAGTGGCAACTTCACGACTTTTATTTGTGGTGCCTGTGCTTTGTCTTGAAAATACCTTCTCCCCCTGCCCCGGACAGTGGGCGGGGAGGGGGCAGCAAAAAATAGAAGACATCCCTCCCTATTGCACATGGACCCTATATACAGGCCCACCTGGCTGAGGCCAGTAGGGCTCTTGGCACATTCTCGGATCCCTGCTCAGGAGGGGGAGGGGTGACTGGGTGGCATCACACGTGAGGTGGGGACCTCCAGGCAGCCACTCTGGTCCTGGCTACTGATCCTTGAGCTGCTTGGTCCTCAGTTCCATCCTGGTCCCGTCTCCAGCCCTGGTCCCCTCTGGCGACGTCCCCCTACCTGGCTTGGCCTCCCACCTCCATCCTGACCTTGGGTGGCCCCCTTGGCTCCTGGGGACTCTGCTCCCCTCCCAGCCCAAAGGTCCCAAGAGGAGATTATGGCTTCTCAGAGACTTCCCCCGGAGCCCTGTCACTCATGTTCACGTGGGGGAAAGGGTGCATGTGGCAGAAGCAGCTGTATAAATACGGGTGTGAGAAAGTCCTCCAGAGTCACTTGGAGAGTTTGCTGATGACACGGATGAGTGCCGCGTTCTCATCCTTGAGCCGCTGGTTGTCAGCGCGGAGGTCAGACAGGGCCTGAGGGATGGGACAAGGTCAGCTGAGTGGCCCTGGCAGGCTGAGCCCCTGCCTGCCCTCGGCCCTCTGCCCCCAGCACCCCTGTGAGCTCCCACCTTCAGCTCCTCCTCCAGCTCCGCGGCCTTGCGCTCCAGGGCCCGGCGCTCCTGGAATGAATGGGGGAAGTTCAGAAACCGAGTGAGGCTGAGCAGGATGGGGAAAGGCCAGGGGGACAGCTTAGAAGGGCAGCGTGGCTCTCTTGATCCAGACCCATGTGGGTGTAAGGCCAGGGACAGCTCTGGTCCCCATCCCAGCTACTCCAACTTACAAATCTCTCCAGCTCCAAGAGGGCTGGCCTCTCGGCAAAGCGTTCCTGCCTCTGGCGAGGACAAAGAGAAAGACCAGGAGTCAGGAAGGGGAAGCCAGCATAGCAGCACACAGAAGGCCATCTAGTTTCCTGCCCCACTAGCCAGGCCACGAGCCCCGCCCCTTATCATTCCACTCAGGCCCCGCCTCTAAGACCCCCTCCAAAAGCTGACTGCAGCTCAAGCTCCACTCCTCATCTCTCAGGCTCTGCTCCCCAGAGGTTCTGCTCCTCCGAAAGCTGAGCCCAGCTCAGACCACCTCCAGGATCAGGCCCTGCCTCCCAGAGGCCCTAGCTCCGCCCCTCGTTGCTCAGACTCCACCTCCCAGAGGCCCTAGCCCCACCGTCATTGCAGAGACTCCACCTCCCAGAAGCTCTAACCGCACCCCCTCAGCCCACTCCTCATTGCTCAGGCCCCACCTCCCAGAGGCCCTAGCCCAGCCCCTCATTAGGTGGAGCCCAGCCCAGACCGCCCCTCTTCCTCAGCCTGTCTCCCAGCGTTCCTGCGATGTCCAGGGCTTTGGCCCCCTTACCTGCGTGGCCCGCTCCAGCTCCACCTTGAGCTGTGCCAGCCGCAGCGTGGTCTCGGTCAGGGCCTCGCGGAGCCGCTCATTCTCCCTGCGCAGCTCTGCGTACAGCTGAGGGCATGGAAGAGGCAGGCAGGGTCAGGCTTAGGCTTGCCAGCCCCCGGTGGCAGGTTGGCAGCGGGTGGGAAAGGTGGTTAAGTGGGTATCTATTAATAGCGGGCAGGCCACCGAACAGGCAGGTAAAAAAAGGCCCACAGGGAGGGTGCTAACGGCGCTGAGGGTGGGGTGGGATCGTGCACCTTCCTGAAGCCTCCATCGGGCTCCTCTGATTCCGGCTCAGGTTCTGGGTTGAGGTCCCTCTGCGAGCGCTGTCTGCGGGCGGAGGGGCCGCACTCGGCGGTGCTGGGGTGGGGGCGGACACGGTCAGGGGCCTGCAGCCAGCAGACAGGCCCGACCCCTTCCCTGCCCTGCCCCTACCTGGACTCCGGGCTGCGGTCCGCCGGCTCCGCCTCCTCCCCCTGCGGCGGATGAGGGTTCAGAGCGGGGTTCAGCCGCATGCGGGAGTGGGGTGGTCCCGCCCCAAGCCACCTCAGCACCAGCTCAGCCCCACCTGAGCCCCCTCACCTCCGCAGGCCCCCTCCACTCCTTGCCGACCTTGTGGTGCTCCCTGGCAGCCTGCGGTCCCTGACCCTGCCCTTCAGGCGCCTCTGCTGGGGGAGGGACAGGAATCAGCCCAGACACCTCTGGGGGAGGCCCTCTCTCTGCAGAGTCCGGTCCCCAGCCCCAAGCCCCCAGGAAAACAGGAAGACTGTCTGGGAGAGACGCGGTGGATCCCTGAGAGCGACCTCCCCAGAGAGCAGACCTCACCTCTCTGGGCAGGGCCGTCAGAGTTCTCAACTCCAGGGACTCGGGGCCTTCTAGAAGGGTCCTGTCAGGGAGGTGGAGGCAAAGTCAGAGCTCGTGGGAGTCCTGCACCACCCACTGCGCCCTCACCCGACTCCTCTCACCAAGCTGTGCGGGGACTTCTCAGGCTCTGCGGCCTTCCCTGCAGCCTTCTCCGCTTCCTTCAGGTCTGTCAGAGTCACACCCTGGCAGGGAGAGGGGACAGTCAGGAAATGCCGGGGTCCAGGCCCCCCGGGCCTCCTCCCTCAGACCAGGGGTCAGACCCCCATCCGACTCTCCACACCTGTGTGGACCTCCGAGACTGGCGCATGAGGCGGGAGCGAGCTTTCCGCTGGGATTCAGACTCCTCATCCCGTACGGGCATCTGGTAGGACCTGCGTGAAGGGCCCCAACCTCAGGGAGGGTCCCTCGGAGCCCTGTCCCCCTCCATGGCTGACACCCTCAGGGAGGCACATTCTGTCAGAGAGGACTTCAACTCCCAGCAGACCCTGGGACCCCCTCACTCAGGGGCCCCACCCAAAGCCCGGGGGACTCCCATGTAAGGCAGGGTCTCCCAGCTGGGGGGACAGCAGCTTCCTGCCATGGCTTCTTCACCTCCGACGGTCCCGGGAGTCCGCTGGGGGCACTGAAGAGGCTGAGGGGGCATTTGGCTTCACTGGGGATTCAGGCTCTGGAATCTTGGGAGGAGTGGAGTTACCCACGGGAGGAGCAGGCTTGGTGCTCTCAGACCTGTGTGAATTCATTCATTCAACAAATGTCACTCAAGCTCGCTGCACGGGCCCAGCACCAGAGACGCAGCAGTGAACAAAAGCAACAAGCAGCCTCTGCCGCAACAGTCAAATGTGAGCAGAAAAGACGCAGACAGTGGCCATAGAAAGATGAGCACATTACGTAACACTTCACTGCAAGGATAAAGTGCATCGCAGAACAGACACAGAGCAAGAGTGGGCAACAGACTCGCTCGGGACCGTGCTGAGGACTGGAACTCAAAACCGCCCCCCAAACCCAAGGGGCCCAGGCCCATGGCACTCACAGGGCAGAGGGCTCCAGCGCCTTCCGGGAGGGGGTCGGGGTAACCCTGGCGAGACGGAGCTCCTTGGCCTGTGGGGAGAGGAGGGGAGGGTATTCGCCTGGACTAGGCGGGGGCCTGGACCCTGCCCACCTTACCCCACTCACCTGGGAGGAGGTCCCTTCCAGCCAAGAGGACGAAGCTGAGCGCTGCAGCCCAGCCCCAGGGGCTCCCTCGGATCCCCGCCTTTCTGGGGGCCCCAGGGCCCCAGAGCTCCCTGTCTTCTGGAGGCCAAAGCGCCTGGAGAAGGGGGCCTCTCCGGGCAGCTGGGAGAAGAAGGTCTCAGTTATGGAGAAAAGATCCCTCTTCTCAGACTTCAAGTGTTAACCCCCCAAAAGACTGCAGCAAACCACGATCCCATCACTCAGGGCAGATGCGGCCAGACTCACCACGGGGCTCTTAGGACTAGGGGGTGGTGGGGAGGAGACTCCATTGAGGGTCCTGGATTCCGCAGGGTCTGGCTCTGTGTATAAGCACGTTGGGGAGGTCACAGAAGATGCCACCGGCCTCCAAGAATTAGAGAACCCAGCCCTCCTCCTTCAGACCCAGGAGTCCAGACTCTGGCCCCTTACCCGTGGGACCTTCTTCTCCCTCATCTTCGTCCCGGATGAGGGGCCCCCCCGCCCCACCAGGCCGGCGCTCCTTGGACAGGTCCTGGAGGGAAATCTTCTCACGGCTGCTCAGACGACACACAGAGCTCCTGCTGGGGAAGGAGGGGGTGCTGGGGTCCAAGTCCTGGGGGCCCCCTGTCACCCCAGGGCTCCTCCCACCCATATACCTTCTGTGCTTGCTGCTGGGGGGCACCTGGTGCTCCTGGCCCCTGCTCTGGGAGGCTTCCTTCCGGTTCCGCAGCTGCAAGGAGGGAGGGGCTGCTGGGGAGGGGCAGAACACACCACAGCCCACATGGCCACCCCCATGCACAGCGTGCCCAGCCATAGGCGCTCAGTGCCTGGGTGGCACGGAGGATTCGTGGACTCGTTCAAGTTTTCCTACAGACGGCTGCACCTCGCCTGGAAGAGGAGGTGCCCTGGGTCCAACGTGCCTGGAGTGGCCACATACAGGCACCGTCCTGTTCTCACGGCCCCCATCCATGGGAAGCCTCCCATCCTATCCCCAGAGGGGTCTTTCTAGCTCCCAGGGGTGACCTGCTCACACCTTCTCCTGGACCCCTCAGCACACCCAGGGTTTTGCTGCCGAGCTCTGGCCCCGGCCTCTTGTGGCCTCCTCCACCACTTGCTCTCAGGTGTGGTTCCCCGGCTGCTGTTTGTTTTCACGCCTCCATGCCTCCTTCCCGCCCCTTCTGGCAAACTCTGAGTGCTGTAGTACTCATGTCTTCCAGAAAGTGTTCTCACACACCCCCAGGCCGGGCTCTCAGGAGCTGTGTTTGCCACCCCCAGCTTTTGCATACACTATTCCCTCAAGACCAAGAATGTGCCCTGGCCTCCAGGAAGCTGGCCTGAGTTCACCAAGCTGGAGCCATGACTGTTCTCTCCTGCGTCTGTCAGCCTTAACATTGCCACTGCCAACCTTCAGAAGGGGGCTCTGTTTCTGTCCACCTGCCCACTCACCAGGAACTCTAGGCCTGGCCTCAGGAGGTGTTTCTTGCCACCTAATAGTGCTCATGTTAGCCCAGGCAGGGTCCTAAATGCTTTTGTTTGGTAACATACAGCATAATCTGTGTCATATCACGTGTAACTCCTCAGAGAGTAAAGGTGTACCATCCCCATCTTACAGATGAGGAGACTGAGGCCCAGAGTGTAAATGACTGGCTGGAGCTTATGTAGCAAATCCACGGCAGAGCCAGGATTCCGGCTCAATCTGGCGAAAGCCCATGTCCTTAACCCCTTCAGCCTGTAACAAGGTCTGCCCTGGGGCTAGGTGGGGAACGCCTTGGGGGTGACGACCCCAGCCCGGACAATGCCTGTCCGAATCCTCCTCCTGTCTCCCCTCCAGGCAGGGCAGAACAGGTCCCTGGGGTGGCAGGTATCAGGAAGGCAGGGGACGAGGATGCTCCCCCCTCCCCAGCCTCTGAAGAGCTGACGGGAGAGGAGGGAGCTTGGGGGAGCCTCTGAGCCCTGAGACTCACGTCCTCCTGTTTCCGGGCCAGTTCCTCCAATAGGCTCAGCACTTCCTCGTCAGCCAGGTCACAGGGACGCTGCCCCTGGGTGCGGGGAGAAGGGGCAGATGATGGAGGAGGAGCAGGCCCCTCTCCCACCCACCTGCTGGCCCAGGCACCTGGTCCTCACCGCGTGGGTCAGCGAGTCCATGCCCCCGCCGTGCTCGGCCAGCAGGCGGCAGGCGTCCTCCACACCCCAGTGGGCCGCTGCGTGCAGGGGGGTCCAGCCATCCCCGTCCCGGAGCTCCGGGTCATAGCCAGCCTGAAGGAGCAGCCTGGGGGCCAGGGAGGCTCGGAGTCAAGGGCTGAGACAGGGATCTGGGCCGTGGGCTTTCAGCCGGCCATGCTGCAGCCGCAGCACCAACTGTTACAACATCGACATGACTGCCCCAACCCCTCACCACCACAGTGACCCTCTGCCACCCAGCCTTGGACCAGCGGGCACCCTCTGGAACCTGCCCCTCGTACATCAGGGGGTTGACTCTTGTGGGTTTCCGAGGCCCAGCCCCAGAGGAGGTGGGTGCAGGGCTCCCCCTGCCTGCCCCCAAGCCTATCAAAGGACTGGTCCCCCAAAGGGACTGTCTCTGGCAGTGGGTCCCAGGATCCCAGCTGGCTGAGAGCGCTGGTTCCCAACCGTGGCGATGCTGCCCCCCCCCAGGGAAACCCAGCAAAGCCTGAAGGCATCTCTGGTCGTACAACTGCGGGGAGGCCAGGGACGCCCAACACCCTGCAGTGCTCAGGATGGCCCCACGACACAGAATGATCGGACCCAAAATGTCACCAGCGCCAAGGCTGAGAAACCCTGGCTTAGACGATTCTCTGCAAGAAAATAATAACCACCTTAGAACCCTCAATTCAGGGCCAAAGGCAGGGTTATAAGCCCAGGGCAAGTCTCCAAACTCACTCAGGGTAAGACAGGCCTATTTTTAGAGAACTAGAATGAGGTTCTGTGTCAACGAGAAAAAGCTAATGCAAACTGGGAACAGATGGGCAGACCGAGTTATTTTATAAAGAAACCTCTTAAACACAAGGTCCCCCATCTGGCCCCACTGACCTCTTCCCTCACCTTCCCCACGCTCCGCCCCAGCTCCCTCTGCTCTGGCCCTGCCGGGTGCCCACCCCAGCCTCGCCACAGCCTGTGCCCCGGGCACTGCAGCATCGCACACTGCGTCCTGCTCGGCAGCCACCCCACCCCACCCCGCTGTGTCCTGACCACAAAATCTCACGCGGGCCCCTCCCTGTCACACGCATCTTCTCCCTATTTATATCCTGCTCAGCCAGCACTTCCCAATGGGGATGGCGCTGCCCCCCAGGGGACGTGTGGCCACATGCAGAGACAATTCTGGTTCTCACAACCAGGGCTGCTCCTGCCATCCCTGGGGCAGAGGCCAGGGAGGCTGCTCAGTACCCTGCAGTCCACAATGACCAGCCCCATGGCGCACAATGACCAGCCCAGCGGAAGGTTGGTCTGTTTGTCTCCCCACGACGCTGTGAGCTGCAGGTGGCCCCAGCTCCTAACAGGCTGCCTGGCACACAACAGGGGCACAGAAAATAAGCACTGAATTATCAATGTCAAGTAAGTGTCTACCTCTACTCTGCACTTTAATGAGGAGAATGCCAGTTACATTCTTCTCAAAATGCAGTCGACAGATCTGAGCGTAAACATGCACCCATACGAAGAAGCAGTAATGAAATTACGGTCAAGGAATACTCCTAGGTCCAAAGTGCTTCCATTCTAGGGCAGAGAACGAGGCTGCCCACACATAGCGACTCTCTCTCTCCCTTTAATAACAGCACTCGACTTCTAACTGGACGCCTGGTCACCCGGCTGAAGACAGATCTCCTAGTGTCTTTCATAGCTAGGAATGGACAGGTGACGGGGATCTGAGAAATGGGGTGTCAGTGTTAAGTGGTGCACGCAACTTCCAGATTGTTCTCTTAAAATGAACGGACACTTGCTCCCTTTACCCTCTCGCTTTTCCTGCTGGCTGGAATGCAGGTGCCATGGCAGGAGACGAAGCAGCCACCTGGGACTCAGGGGTGGAAGCCGTGGGAGGAGAAGAGAAAAGCCTCCGGGGCTGGTACATCACTGGGCCTGGCCGTTTAGCGTACGCAGTCCCCCCTGCCATAGGAGCGGTCCAGGGATGGGCAGGTGACCCAGGTGGCCCAGTGAGCAACAGGCCTGGGACTTTTGCTGGAACTATGGCAGACCAGGTGCCCCACCTCAGCAGCAGGTGCTAAGCAGACAGGCTATATGCCCGGAGCTGTTAAGGGTCATCTTAAGTACCTCACTGAACAAACCTACCTGAAAATTAACCAGTACCAAGGTGAGCAGATAGATGGAGGGATTCATCTTAACTTCGTTTTTACACTAAAGCGTAATAGCACAAGAGAGACAAGGGAATCGAGAAGAGAATGGGGGGCTTGAAGATAAGAACTGGAACCCACTACTCCAACAGAAAGGGGAAAGGCAGCCAAACACAGACAAAGTAAGGCCCAAGATTGAGGCACGGGTAACAGAAAGGGAACAGGTGCTACAGCAACTTAAAATATATACGCACCAAATGACCTAGCCTTGAAATATACAAGATTAAAACTGACAGAACTATAAAGAGAAACGGGCAAAGTCACAATCCTAGTAAGAAATTTTAATGCCCCTCTCATATCACAGTGACCGACAGAATGAGCAGGGGGCAGTAAGGATATAGAAGCTTTAAGCAGCGTGATTGCCAAGTTGACCTAATAACCCGCAGAGAACACTGTGCTTGACAATACCATTCTTTTCCAGCTCACATATACTGGTATAGAAGGCGAACCTCAACACATTTCAAAATGTGGAATCAAACAGAATCCATTCTATGACCACAATGCAATCAAGCCAGGAAATTAGTAACAAAATAACTGGAAAATTCTATACATTTGGAAATTAAGGACACATTTCTAAATAATCCATGGATCAAAGAAGAAAGATTACAAATTAGAAAATGTTTTATACTGAATGACAATGAAAAAGACTACACATCAAAACTCGTGGGTGCAGCTAAGGCTGTATTTAGAGGGAAATACATAGTCTAAGGTACATAAATTAGAAAAGCAAGGGAAAGTACAAGGTCTAACACCATGAGATGGAACAGACTGGCCCAGCTCACCTCATCACCTCAATGTAGCCCTTGGCAGCGGCCACGTGCAGGGCAGAAGCCCCGGTGCGGGGGTGCCGGGCCTCTGGCATGGCACCCCCATTCAGCCAGCACCTTGTGTCATGAAGCAGCAGTTCTTCCTC